CGGCCAAGTACCTGCACCCGTCGACGGAGAAGCTCAACCGAACGGCGAAGAGACACAGGTTGCGCCAGCGGAAGAGGAAGAGGAAGGCCCGTCGGCGACCTCAATTTACGAAGAGACGATTCGCAACCCCGAGTCAGACTACGCACTTTCCAGCTTGTCGAAACAAGCCAACGGGCTCGAAGTATCAAGCAAAGATCCACAGGCCTTCCTCGCCGATCAAGTCAACGTGCTTGAGAATCTGCGGCGGGAGGATGAGAATGAAGCTGCCATGAAGGCTGCGCGCAAAGAGCAAGACCCATCAATCTCTAGGACTTATACCGACGACGCATCGGGAGTTGTTGAAGAGCATATTGGTCCTGTACAATTCAACATGGGTGGAATTCAAGTCAACGCCGATGAAATGGTCAAGAGGCTACAGGTACGTCAAACACACGTTCATCATTCCCGAAGAGATGTAGAACATTTACTAACTTCATCCCAGGACCGTCAAGCCAACCGATCAGACGAGCCTGAAACACCACCTCCCAAAACGCAGGATACCAACATCAACGACAACGAGAAGCTGAGATCTTTCTTCTCCAGTCTGGTCAACAAGGCGCCCTCGGGCAGTCCAAGGGGTGGTTCGTAGTCTGGGTCTTGTTTCTTTACAGGCATTTTCCACTTTCTCAGGCATATGCATTCCGTACAACTTTATTCGACGCTCGCGATAGCAAAGGCTTTCTTATAGGTTCACGGTCGTCATTAGCATGGCTTTATACCCACAGTGTATTTCCGTACCCAATACAAGCTTTCACATTCCAGAGTGCTATTCCCGGACCACGTACTGTTTGAATTGTTCTACTGTATCTGCTGCTATTGCCTTAGCAACTACATGGGCGTGAAGCCTGTACAATATTTTCCCTGTCGAATCTTCATATCTCTTCATCGCCGAAGCCACGCATCACATCCTTCAAGTCCCAATCTAACACTCATGCCAGCACATTCCTCCATTATATGCCTACCCGGGAAGTCTTTTTCCTCGATCCTCTAACTATACTACTCCCACCAAGCCGCCTGACCAGATTAATTAAGTAACCCACAACCTTATAAGCAAACTAATTACACAGCAACCCACCCTCGCATCATTCCCAGTATGACAGGTCGAGGCGTCCGTTGGGCCGACTACCGCCGCCTAGATCGCATCACAGCAGACAACCTCGCTCAAGTGCCTCACGGGCACTTCAACTGGGGACACTGGAGGCATATGGGTAATCCACCTGGGATGCAGGGGTATTGGAATGAGAGAAGATGGCAGTGGGGTTGGAGGAACGGGTACCAGTGGGGTGATGCTACTGGTCGGTATCGCTGAATTGCGAGATGCTCGGGGGTGCGTGTGTGTATGAGGAGACATGTAGGTTGATATGCTCATAGTGTATCATATTCACATGAAATTAATCATGCACAACCCCAACACCCACCTACCTCTCCAACAACCACCTAACCCCCTCCAACGTATCCCTGCTAAACTCCCTACTCTCCTCCAACTCCGGATAATTCGTCCAAAACATATGTCCAAACCCTTTGTACAGCTCGAACCGCGTCAACACCCCATTCTCCCGCAGTTTCCTGTCATAGAGCACCGCCTCATCCCTCAACGGATCCAAGCCGCCAACCTGGAAAAACGCTTTTGCAACGCCCACATGTCCATTTGGGTGGTTGAACGGGTCCCATAACGGGGACTTTTCCTGGGGTTCGTAGATGGATTCGATGAATCCTGGTGCCATATCTTTGAGGACGGGGTCGGATGTGTTAGAAGTGCGGGATTGGTAGAGGGGAAGGAGGTGGGTAGGAACGTTTGTGTGAGGGAGGAGTGCGGGAACGCAGAGGTACTGGCCTGTTATGGGTGGAGTTAATGCTGTATCTCGGGCGAGAAGGGCAAGGACGGCGGCGATGTTGCCGCCGGCTGAGGCGCCGCCTACAAGGAGGCCGCGGGTGGGTGTTGCGTTGAGTGAGTCGCTGTTGTTGATGGCCCAGAGGAGGGCGTCGTGGCAGTCGTGGATGCCGGTTGGGAATTTGTGCTCGGGTGCTAGACTGTGGTGGTACGTGAGTAAATGTGTCTTGGGAAAAGAAGTTGAAGTATACGAAGACGGAACGATAACGTAAACACCTTATACAAGAAAAAAACTAAACAGGTCTGCAGGCTACATTAAGCTAAGACCTTGCAAAGTAGGTGACCCAACGTTAACGTAGGCTCCAGGCTCTAGGCTGTTCAGCTTTTTCCTAGGTTGGCGTGTAAAGAAGGATAAGGAAAACCTGGAACACAAACAATAAAATCATCTTACCGATACTCAACGTTAACACACACAGCCCCCAACTCCCTCGTAAACATCCGACAATTCATATCTTCATCCGTCAAATCACCCATACTCCAGCCTCCTTCGTGGTACATCATAATCAGTGGGCTGCCGTCCTTCGGCGGACCCGCAACAGGCTGGTACACTTTGACGCGGATGGAGGCTCCATCTCGGGTGGGCACGTCGTGGAGGCTTTCTGTCACGTGCTCTGGAATGGGGCCAGGAATGGGGTAGAGGTGGCGGAGCTGCGAGAGATGGGCTGCGCGGGAGGCGCGGTGGGCGAAGAAGTCTGGGCCTGTTGTTTGGAATGGGCGGGCTGTGAAGGCCTGGGGTTGGTGTGAGCTGAGAATTGGTTGTTCAGGAGTAGGTGGGACGGGGGAGGAGATGGCGACAATGGGTTATCGCAAGTGTCTTATGAAGCCACTGTACCTTTCTGTATATTTCGGATACCTCACCCGACTCAAGGACTTCTTCTCGTGTTAGATGGGCCATGTTTCGTACGAGGATTTGGAAGATTTGGAAACGGCAAAGTAAGTAGGATAAGGAGATGGGTTTCAGGAGGCTTTGTGCTATACACTTGCCATCCTACGATGTTGATGCATACCACGTGTACGCTTACGTCATTCCTTAACAGTCCACTTCTATATCAACTCACATCCCTGAGAGCTATGCTTATCTTGAGATCATTGGTAGCCAGAGTCAGTTTACTTCAACTGAGTATGCGCTGGTGATATCGCTCAATTATATGAAAGGTATACTGCAAGATTATGTAACACATCAAAAGAAATATGAACAGCTCAGCATCTACAACCCCAACACACGTCAAGGAAGGTCATGTGCAAAGTGCGGACAGTACCACACATTTCCACCAATCAACCCCCTCCTACTCCTTATCAACAAGCACAGTACTATCATCGACCTTCTTCTCCTCCCCCGCCAAACTAGGCTGAACAACCTGCCTGCCCTTCCACCCCGCCATAAGCTTACCCAGCCTCTTCCTCAGCCCATACTGCATCCAGTACGGCCAAGTCCTTATCGCCGGAATGAACAGCCCACTAGTCTCCGGCAGAACAACATGCTGACTCTTGCCGCTTAGCACAGCCTTAACAATGCTCTCCGCAACCGTCTCCGGGTAAAGAACGCCCTTGGAATCGAAACCTTCGAACAGCGCAGTGCGGGTGTAGCTCTGGGCCATGAGCACAGTCCTTATCTTGGGTGCGTTGTAGCGGGCGGTGAGTTCGGCGGCGAGGCCTTCGTGGAAGGAGAGGGCGGCGGCTTTGGAGGACGCGTAGTCGACCATGGAGGGCGCGGACAGGTAGCCGGCTACGGAGGCGACGGTTACGATCATGCCGTGGTTGGCGGCGATCATGGCGGGCAAGAACTGCTGTGTCAAATAGTAGTGGCTGAAGGCGTTGACTTTGAAGGTCAGGTTGATGTCCTTCTCTGTCGACTCGAGGATGGTTTTGCCGCGTGCGACTCCGGCGTTGTTGATCAGGACCGTAGGGTTACCGAGCGTGGAGCGGATGGACGAGGCGGCGGAGGCGATGGCCTCGGGGTCGGTGAGGTCGCACTTGAAGAAGCGGACGGATGATGGGGCTGGTGAGTGTCAGTAACCCATCAATGCGACCAAGACTCAATTGCAGACATACCCTCATACGTCAAGTCCTGAACATCCAGGACGGCGACCTTGATGCCCTTCTCGGCGAGCAGCTGGACAACAATCTTGCCAATGCCATCGCTGCCTCCGGTTACAACGACAACCTCGCGACTCCAGACATAGGCATCGCCGCTCCAGTTGTTGGTCACGCCGCTGTTGAGCCAGGCGTTGACGGTGCTCAGCGCACCCAAGCCCAGCAGCGTCTTCAGGCCCTTGAATGCTGTGGCATGGTCTTCGGCAAGGGCGTTGCCTTGGTGCGTGTAGCGCGCAAGGAGGATGAGGGGCAGCGTGAGGGCAGGGTTGAAGGCCGTGTACCTGATGAGGCGGCTGATAGTGTCGCCAGTCACGCCTGTTCACGGGGTCAGAAAAGTGTCCTACTTGATACTATTGCCATTGTGGTAGTTGGGGGCGGCAATGGCTCGGTGCTTACCTTCGCGCGCAAGGGTCCAGTCGCTTCGAATCGGCATCGCGACGGTGTCTTGGGTGGTTGGATGTCGGAAAGAGTGGTCGGGATAGCGCGTGGAAAGCCGCAACTAGCAGCAACGGATAGCGTTTACATTTCGCGCGTCGCGACTCTTTAAACGGACCGGCTGTGGTACTCCTTCGTCGTGCAGCTGTGCCACGCCCACCAGGGAGAGAGCGGGGTCGCCCCAAAACAAGGCTGGCGCAGTCCTGATGGAGCCCACAACCGAGGATCTGGCGCTGTCTATCGCGATTTCCCTGTCGCCATGTGCAAATGAGATTTGCCAAGAGATCCGAAGGAATTCAGGGATTGAAAGGGATTCGTGTGAAGATCGTAAAATGATTATTGTCTACAGCCTTCGTGCTGTCGTGACTAATATACAATCGTGCTAAACGCGCTCCAAGTGATGCTATGTAAATACTGCTAATACTAGAACAAAGGAAATCTCGTAAAGTGGTAAAATGATATCTCAAACGCCAAACACAAAACCCGCCCACGCTATCAAGGTAAAATAAGAAAAAAAATCGTAATCCAAACGGCCGTCCATCTAGATCATGTTGCTGCCAGGTTGCTCGTAGTCCATGATCGTGCTCTCAGGGGGGGCGACGCTCGTTACCCGACTGATACGGCTTGCTCGTGAGTCGGGACGATTGATCGACATCGCTCCACTCATGACCCTCACTACCTTCCTGCTCTTGGTTCCGGCGACCAAGACCTGGGCTGGGCAGACGACAATCTCGTCCTCGCCTTCGCCGAAGTCATCGCCCTTCTTGACGACTAGGGGGAACAGTACAATCTTGACTACTGACCCACGGGCTTGGAGTTCGTCATTTGACGTCGTCTCGCCTGACCGTTCGTTCATGAGAGAGGCGTTGAAAGTAACCTTGGCCACGAGGTCGCCCTTGGTATCGTACTCGGGTTGTAGCGGCGGCAGCATGATGTATTCCGCGCGTTGCGTGCGCATCTCAATTGATAGCTCCACTGCCAAGCGCATCACGTTGCGCAACGACTCCTGGATCTGGCGCTGCAGATGCGATGGTGGCGGAAGAAGTGTCGAGAGTGTGCTGTAGATCTCGTGCACGACAGCTTCAGTGTCCTGAGCGCGCTGCTGCATGAAAGGCTCTCTTCTCGCAAGAAGAGTAAGTGTGATAGCTCGCCATTGTGCCACAGCGCGTGGTGGGCCGACTTCTGAAAGTGTCTTCTCCAGCGCCTTAAGTTTCTGGCGCTGTTCTCGGTCCATACCGAATAGGTACCTGGTGAAGACGTACTCCCAGATCATGGTCATAACCACGGACATGAAGACGTCTCGGCGCTTAACACGGTCCGCTAAGAGTGAATCGACATCTGAGCCATCGAGAATGGCATTGTCAAGGCGAGTGTCGATTTTCTGACGCGTTGATGCATCCAGTCGTGTATCAGCTGCGACCTCTGATGAAAGGCGGCATGCGCGAGTGTCAGAGAACTTGGAGAAGCGCAGCACCCACTGCTGGACATGTTGACACAGTTGCTGACAGGCGCTGTCAAAGTAGTCCTCGTCGCGAACAGTGAGGAAGCTCTCACTAGGCTTCTTCGAAGCCAAGATCTGCTTTTGAAGGTTCTTGATCTGTTCGCGTGCAGTCGCAAGCTCTGCGGTGAGACGGTCGATTTCGGCATTGCGCTCATCGAGTGCTTCGCCAACTTCATCGCGAACGGCATCTGCGAGACCTCGCTGCATCTGGGTATGCTGGCGGCGAAGTTCCTCCAAGTCTCGTTGTGATGTTTGCCATTGCTGTTGCATGGCCTGGCCTTCAGCCTGAAGTTGAGCGTATTGACTGCGAAGGCTCTCTAGCTCTCGTTGCGATGCCTGCCATTGCTCGTGCACCATTTGTCCCTCGGACTGGAGTTGACCATATCGTTCATTGGCATCGTTGGTCAGGTTGCGATTGGCGTCTGTTAGTGCGTTGTTGAGTTGATTCAGGCGCGCAATTTCTTCTTGTAGTCGCTGAAGCGTATCCTTAAGTTGCGCAATGTCGATATCTCTTTGGTGAATCTGACGGTCACGTGCTTCTACTTCCTCGAGTACCAGTTGCTCGTCAACTTGGCGCTGATGTTGTGCAGCTTGTAAGGCCTCCTCAGCCTTGGCTTTGGCGGTCTCGACAGCTGAGTTTTGCGCAGCTAGCTGGTCAAGTTGCGTCTGGAGGTCCATAATTTGCATGCTTTGACGTTTGCGCACGCTTGGTGGACGTGAGGGCGAGCTAGGCGACCTTTGGGCTTCACCCCATGCTTCCTGCAAAACACAGTCAGTAATCAGAAGCGACGTGCGCAACAACTGCGAACTACTTACAAAGGTTTCGGCCATACTGGCACGACGACCTCTACCTGTACCCCGGACTGGGTCGTAAACCGGTGGGGCGGCGATACCTGCGATGGCTGCTGCTCCAGCCGCGAGCGCCGTGCTGGAGAGATTGGGTTGCGCGCTCCTAGCGTCTTGCGCACTGGCCTCGCCAAGCCTCGAGGCTGATCTGAGGTCACCTGACGTTTGCCGGTCCACTCTTCTCAACGACCGATCCGAACGCGTACTGATGTTGCTCATAGAGCTCATAGGACGTTCCTGATCCGGAGACCTGAGCCTCGCGATGTTGCTTAAAGAACGCTGACTTTGGACACTGGGCGACCGCTGCTCAGCAATGTACTGCTTCAACGGGTCTGCGCTCGGAGATGAGCGAGGCATGCGGCGTGCGGGGCTGAGGGTCATGGTTCGGTCAACGCCGTCATTGACCTGTGACCATGGTGAATCTCTTCCACCTGAGTTGTCTGCCGTGGATGCCACACTTCGACGACCAGTCGGTGTTGGCGTGCTGGGCGGAGGTGATCTCAGGCGATCAGAAAGTTGCCTAAGACTCTCGGTGCGACGAGCTGACTTGAGTCCTCGCTCTGGCGCGCCGACGTCAGCGATGGATCGTGACTTCTTGTGCTTGGTGTCATCCGGGCTGACTTCTTCAATGGACTCGAGTTGCTTGGTGCCTGGCGTGCGTTCGGACTTCGCGACAGGCGTGGAAAGGGTCTCACCCTTCTTCTCATTTGGATCTCCAAACAAGGATTTGTACGACTCCTTCTGCGCAATCTCCTTCGTAGGCGATGTTCGACCGTGCTGCGACTCCGTGCGTGGTTTCTTGCCTTTGTCTTTTGACGGAGTATCATCAACTCTCTGAGTATCATGAGCGGGTGTTTGCGGCCCAACTGCCGGTGAAGTGCCATAGGCGCGTGTTGATGGCGAGGAATCGAAAAGATACGAGGTTCGCTCCTTCGTTGCAAAGTCGGTGCCTGGGGTTGTCGCGCCGGAAATCACTGGGTGTGTTGGCAAAGCAGGGCTGTCTTCGGCATCTTTGTCAGTTGCAGTTGAGCGTTTTGATGCACTCAGAGGAGTCTTCGGTTCCTTCGACCGCCTCAGCGTACGTGTTGCCTTCTCGACTGGCTGTGCTGACGGTGCAGTGGCGGGCTCCTGACGGCTGTCGTCTCGAACTTCGGCGAATGACCATGATGGCTCGTTGGCTGGTGCTGCACCATGCGTTGATGATTTGGCTTCTTTGGAGCGCTTGTCGGAGTGCGAGCGTTCTGATGCGACAACATGCGCTGGTGATGCTGTTCTCTCAGTGGTGAACTGAGGCTCTTGAGTGGACTCCAATGTATGTAGGCGCTTCTCGTCCGGCTGCTCATCGTCAAAGGATACAGGATGTGTCCTGCGCTTGTGAACTTCAGGAACGGCAGCTGGTGTCTCGGCTAGTGGTGCGTCCCTCGACGCGGTGCTCGACTCTCCCTCAACCCTCTCTTCAGTCTTCCTGCTCTTTTTGCTCTTCTTTTTTGGCGATGGAGCCCATGCATCCATATCCCTCTCTTTCTCCAACTCTCGCCTGCGCGTCTCCTCCTTCTTCCTCTCGATCTCCTTCTCTTGCGTCACCTGTGGAAATGGATATTCCTTCGGCTCTCCAGCGGTCATTGAACGGGCTTCCTGATCGAATGTCACGGGCAGTACGGGCACATCCTCAATGGCTGCAGATTTGGCGTCCTTCGCTGACTTCCTGGCCTTCTCCTTCCTCGTTATCGTGTCTTGTCTGTTTGAATCTTCCTCTTTAACGTCGATAGATTTAGCTTCTAAACCTGTTGTTTGCGTTGGCACCTCCGGAAGGACATCAGTGGAGGTTGGCGCGCGAGGCATAGACTGAGCAGGCTCAATTCCGCGGACTGTGGAGTCAGCTGGAGTCTCAACAGCGAGAGGCACATCTCGATGAGCCTCGATCGCCGGAGTCTCTGCAGCTGCATACTCAACACGGTCTTGCAAACGTGGAGCTCCTTCTTCGTCTTTCTTTGACTTCTTGCCTCGAACAATCGGCGCAACTGAAGTGTCTGCTTCTTCGCGAGTGTGTTCAGATTCCACTGGAGTTTCTGGTATCGGATGACGCTTCTTCTTGCTCTTGTTCCTTCTCAGACTTGACGACCCGGCCAGCTCATCAGGGTCAGCTTCTTCAAGAACACCAGGAGGCGACTTTCGCGTTGCAAAAGCGGGGTCGTTGAGCACATCCAGTGGGTCGAACGATGCAGTGTCAGTCGTTGCCATTGCTACTTCGATGGGTGGCAGAACATCGGGTCCGCTGGGCTGGGATGGTCGTAGTTTTGGCGAGCCGGAGACCGACGAAGAGCGGCTTAAGCTACCCAGTCGAGATCTACCGGCCCTTTCCTTTGCAGCGGCAACATCATCATCGGGCGTGATATCGCGAGCTCCTGAGATGGAGTTCGAGCGATGGAAAGACTTGTCGTTGATGACGTATCCTGGATCAAAACCAGACTCCTGCAAACTGGCGGCGACAGTGGCCGCAAAGTCTATGTCTCTCGCGGGAGACTTCGAATCTGATCGCACTGGTGACACTAAGCCAAGTTGACTACGAGATGCAACTCGAGAATGGAGTTGACGCTTCTTAGGCGATGGAGATCGAGACAGGTAACGCTTCTCGGGAGACGGAGGTAGAATGGGCGTGACAGATCGTGATTGACTCTCGTATTGTTCGGCGAGGTTTCTGACACTGCCAGATCCTTCTTTTCGCAGACCTCGTTCCGCAGGAGGACCATCAGGCGATTTGCCGCGCTCAAACAAAGCTGCCAATTTGTGTTTCTTGGATGACTTCTTGTGCAACAAAGGGTGCTGAGTAGTGCTATCGGATTCACTGGCTCTGACGTGGAGATCAGGGATAGAGACGTTAGACATGGACCTGACGTGTTCCCTCTTTGGCTGGCTGAGAATTGCTCCAATTACTGGCGACCCGGGCGTTGACGGTGTTGTAGGCCTTTTCCTGGGAGAAAGGCTGCGTTCTCGGATCGTATCCTGGCGGTTGTCGTACACAATCTGACGCGCAACAGTCGGTTCAGGGGCGGTCTCCTCGACCGGGACGATGGGCGCAACGCTAGCGGGCTCTCTTGAAGTCTTCGGAGACTTCGACTTGCGCTTTTGCTTCTTACTCTTCGTGGGAGTCGTCTCGGCCTCGGGGATGGCTTCGGTCGCTGGAGCGTCAGCGTTTACACGCTCTTCTGAAAAGGTCCTTGGTGGGATGATCTCTTGGGGCTGCTTCTCCAGGACTGGCGCGATTGTCGTGTCTTGTGTAGGCTTATTTGGGATGTCCATAGGGGCTGTGACTTGCTGGTCCATAGGCTTTGACGAGTCAAGAGAACGCTCTTCGGTTCGGACGTCTTCAGAGACCACTACATCGTCGATTCTCGATGTGAGAGGCTGTTCAGCAAGCACGTCTTGCTTCTTTCCCTTCTTGTCTTTCTTACTCTCTTTGCGTACGAGAGTCGGGGCAATCGCAGACTCTGGTTCTGATTCACGCACAGCAGGGAATTCGCGAAGCTGCTCGGTGCTTTCCGTAATGGAAGTCTTGATGGCAAGATCGATGGGAGTCGGATGGGGCTGGACTTCGGTGACTTTAACCTCTGGCTCTGGGTCAAATCGTGGCACAGTAGATGCCTCTGACCGAAGTGCTTCTTCCATGAAGTCGGTCGCGATTGGAAGTTCAACGGTCGCTGGTCTATGAGAGAAAGTGTCCCTGGACACCTCTTGGGTTGTGTGCGGTATCTCCGTAACGATGGGCTCACTGGTCTCGGGCAACGGTGCGTCTACCGTAACGGGCGCCTCGGGTTCCTGCGCGGGGAGTGTATCCTGCTTGGCTCTCTTTTTGCCCTTCTTGCTGAGCTTAGGAGATGGAATGGATGGCTCCTCAAGAATTGGCTCTTGTTGCTCGACGACTGGTGGTGGTAGACTGTCCGTGGTTGCCTCTGCTGGTGTAACGATTGAGGTATCGATCTGTGTCTCCACCTCACGTTGGCTCGGCGTCATAGCCGGAACTTCCTTAACAGCTGCCTCTTTGGAAGCCTCGACACTCGTCGCAGGGAAACCCTCACTGGGAGGTGCTGGCACTGACGTAGCTACCTCATAGTCAGGCAAAGCTACTTCCCGAGACTCAGTCGAAGTAGAGAACGGAACATCCTCAGATAGAGAAGATGTTGCATCCTCTAGCGCGGCAGCTTGCTTAGCCCTTTTCTTTTCTTTCTTGCTGAACTTCCTTGACAGCAGTAGTTCCTCTTCCACAAGTGTTTCTTGAAGATCTTGGGTAACGGTAGATGGGGCCGGGATGTCGGCTGCAGCTGGCTCATCAAGTACTACTCGCTCAGTATCGATGGAACGGGAAGCCTGGTGAGTTTTCTCTGGCGCGACAGTGTCTGCTGAAGGCTCAGTGACGACTGATGGTGACCCTGTTGGCTGCTCGGCGATTGGCTCTGGGTACTCAACGATCGGCGCGCTCGACGGCGATGCTGTCTCGGAAGATTCGACTGGATCGACTGCAGGCTGCTTGCCCTTCTTTTTCTTCTCCTTCTTGCTCAGTTTGCGAGAAGGCCCATCGGTCGAAATGGTATCTTCTGTCAGCGAGGGTGTTTCGACAACTTCTCCCTTGTCGACAACTTGCTCTTCTGCCAAGATCGGCGCAGACACGAATGCGGGCGTCACGACGACTTCCTTCGTCTCAACCGCAGCCTCAGGTTCGGCCGCAGGAGTCGTCGGCATAGCGTCAGTGTCGCCTTTGCTCTTTCTCGCCTTTTTCTTGTCCTTCTTCGTGAGCATTTTGACGATATCGAACATGGAAGCGGGCTCGATGATGGAGGGCTCATCAGCGTCGTTTTGTGTGGCGAGCTCAGCATCGAGTGCTTCTGCACGGAGTCGCAGATCGGCAGCTTCATCTTGGATCGCCCTGAGAGAGGGGGAGGGCTCGTTTGCTAGAACAGAGTCGTCATGCGTGACTTGACGAGCTTCTTCGTGCGTCGTGGTGGACTCGATAGGCTCGATAGGCTGCTGCTCCTCAAGGCTCCGGTAGTCGTCTTCTGGAGTAGCTTCGGCGACGGCAGGTACTGGGGTCTCCTCGACTATTGGGATTACCGGCGCACTCTCTTCTGCTGGCGTGGGAGATTGTACCAACTCCTTCGTGGTCTCGGTGGTAGTTGGCTGAGGGATGACTTGCTCAATGGGTGTCTCGGTGACAATTTCTGAAGGGGCTTCACTGGCAGTCGTAGCGGGTCCAGAAAGCTCGCTGTCAGCAAGAGACTTCCGGTCCTTTTTGGCCTTCTTCGCCTTCTTCGACATTGAGCGGGAACGGGAACTTTCTTCCACAGGCTCAAACAGTGTTTGCTCGTCGCGCAAGTCAGTTGTTCCCGTTGTAGGCTCCGATGGCTCCTCCGATGGCAGCTCTCTAGCGATTGGAGATGATGCAACAGGTACCTCCGGAATGGTCGGTTCAAGGATGAATGGCTGGGCTTCAATGCTCTCGGATTGTGCTTCTGGGACGCTCTTGGCCTCCTCGACTACGGTAGTTGACTCCGCTGACGCTTCGACTGAGGCGTCTGGCATCAGCTCTCGAGTGGGCTGTTGCTGGAACTCTTCAAAGACCGGTGGTGCGACAGCGGGAAAGGCCACATCAGCTTCGGGGACAGAACGATCCTGGACGTCAGTGGTGCCTGCTGGGACATCTCCTGGTAGCTTGTCGACGTCCATACCTTGTGAGAAAGCCGGCTGTTGAGGCTGTTCGATCACTTCGGGAGTAATGTTGGCATGGACAACAGGCTCTTCCGTCTTCACAGACTCCGTTGTCGTCTCCTCGATCTGAGCGGTCGTCGAAGTCATTGGCTCAGTCTCTGGGATCGTTGTGTCCTGATCCTGTAGGTTGATAGGCTGTAGTCGTTTGGTGGCGGCGGGCTCAGTCTCGAACGTTTCCGTTGCTTGTACTTGCTCAGGAAGAATCGATATTTCTTTGACAGGCTCCTCGGGGAGATCAGAGACAGCAGATTGCGTCTTGCTCTTCTTGTCCTTCTTCGCCTTCTTGCTCTTCTTTGGAGTGGAGACAATTGTGTCCTCCACTGTTGCTTCTTGAGGCAAAGCCTCGATCGCCGATTCTGGTGCCTCGCACCAAGATGAAGACTCAACAACAGACTCATGTACCACTGGGTCAGTCTCTTGAACACGCTCAACCGTAGTGGTATCGACTGCAGGCGCTGGTTCTACCGTCGCTGGCCTGACGGTAGGCTCGACGATAGGCTCGACGGTGGACTCGACAACAGGCTCGACAGTGGGTTCCGTGGCTGGCTCCGTGGCTGGCTCCATGACGGGCTCCTTCTCAACAATGGGTTCCTCGACCAGAGCGGCAGCCTGCTGCTGGGCCTTCTTCCTCTCCTTCTTGCTCAGCTTACGCTCAAGAACGGGTTCCTGCGCAGCGGTCTCATTCTCGACTTCCTCGACCACGGTCGTCTCTGGTATCGAGACTGGTTCGTTGACTGTAGGTGCAGCCTCGGTGGCGGGTGCTTCACTGACGGTCTCTGGCAGTACAGGAATCTCTGGCTGGATCGTGGCCTCCTCAACCTGCGGCTGCTCGTCTATGACCGGTGCGACAGGGTCTTGTACTTCGAGCTGGGAGAACGCGACATCTTTGGTGTTCACAGCGATGTTGTCGGAGTCTGTTGCAGGCAAGGCTTCGGGAGCTGGCGTTACGACATCTGACTTCTTGCTCTTCTTCCTACTCTTCTTTTTGGAGACCGATGGGGATGCTGGCTCCTCGACTTGAGGCTCAACGTCCGCCGTTGGTACATCGGGAGATCGCTCTTTAACGATCGCTGGAGTGACAGTGGTGTCTGGCACATTTTGGCTGACTGTCTCCTCGATTTGATTCTCGGTTGCGATTTCCTGTGTAACAGGAGTCTCTTGCGCCGCAGTGACTGGCGCATCGATGGCTGATACCTCTTCGATCGGTCGTTCAATGATAGGCTCTTGAGCAGTATCAGGCAAGGGCGTTGAAATAGCGTCCACCAGAGGCGGTGTAAGATCGGACTTCTCGGTTTCTTCCTTGGTCTCCTCCGTTGGGGGCATGGAAAGTGCGCGGTCGTCCAGTAAAGGTTCTTGGTCAGTCCTAGGGGCAACTGTCTCAACCACAGCATCTTCCTGAGGCAAAGAAAGTGGCACATCTCGAGGTGCTGGCTCATTGCTGCTAGCGCCAACATCTTGGACAATTGCGACCTCTGGCTGTACTGCGACTTCATTGACAGGCGTGGCAGCGTCGGAAGCCTTCGATTTCGCCTTCTTGGCCTTCTTCCTGTCCTTCTTAGACAACGGTGCGGCATCCACGATTTCGAGTGAAGCCTCTGGCTCCACGATTGGGGTCGGAAGTTGCTCGTCTTGGGCGCCTGATGTAGTCTCAGGCTGGATTGGGCCAACGAACTCCTCCCCGACTGTCTCGGCTGGTGGGCTGATGATGCGATCTTCAGGCAGCGGTACCTGAGCGGCGTCTTCTACAGGCTTGAAGATCACTTCTTGTTCAAGCTTTGATTCCGCAAGCTCTGAGGATCCGCGGGTGTCTTCGGTGACAGGCACTGGTGCATCGTCAGAAGTTGTCGGCTCGTTGACGGTAGTCTCTGGAACGAATGGCATGTCCTCAGGCTTTGGTGCGGATGCATCTTCAACTGGTGTGGACTGAATGACCGGCGTTGTCTCAGTGACTGGTTCAATGGCTCGCTCGGCCTCCGATTCCACAACCGGCTCAGCAATTGGCTCGACGGCCGCCTCGGCAACTTCTTCAATGATCGAAGTAGGCGCGGCCTCCGTAGTAACATCTCGAGGTACATCAGGAGTGGTTTCCTCCACTACTTCTTCCGCTTGAGATTGTTTCTTGGCCTTCTTGCTCTTCTTCTTGTCTTTCTTCGAGAGCGAAGGTACGGGAAGCTCCTCCGTGGGCGGTTGAACGGCAGCAGAAGTTGTTGGCTCAAGCTGTGTTGTCGTTGGAGGTTCAGATACAATTTCTGGAACCTCAGCGGGCGCGTCACGTTCGATGCTTGGTAGCGAAGGTTGCTGCGTCTCTTCGACAGGCTTCGAGGTCGGCTCTTCTGGGCCGGTAGTCTTGTCGTCTGTTGTCGGAATTGCTGGTTGAGCATCCTCGATCTGTTCAGGAACCGTGACCTCGCGTGACACTTCTGATTCGTTGGCTGGTTCAGACGCCAGTGGGGTTGGCTCAACATGAACGGTTGGCAACTCCTCTGGCTGGGAAGAGTGGACTTCAGAAACAGTCTCGATAGACGACGCCTGCTTGGCCTTCTTACTCTTCTTCTTGCTTTTCTTTGAAGAGGTAGGCTCCTCGATTGTCGGTGTTGGAACCTGCTCCACTTCCGGAACGACAATGGCGGGCTCTTCGATGTTTTCAACGATACGTTCAACATTTTGGGAGACAGACTCCGGGATGGTTGTTTCTTCACCGACTTCAGGCAAAGACGTGGCGGTCTCAGGCTGCACGATCGTATCCTCGCGCTCCTCTGTCGCGATCGGAACAGGTACAGGCTCCTGGACATCAGACGTAGCGTGTTCGTCCTTGGACAGGGCGGCTTCTTCGACGACAGGCGTTGTATCCGCTTGAGGCTCGGAAGGACGCGCGACCTCAATATCTCGAACGATTACAACATCATCTAGGAGCTTAACATCATCAACTGCAAAAGCCACTGGTTCATTGGGTTCTGCAACCGTGATACCTTCACTTGGCTTGTCCGCGGTGTCGCGCTCAGACTCAGAAACGCTGATGGCTGGCTCTTGTTCCTCTATTGTGGACGCGCGCTTGCCCTTCTTGTTCTTCTTTTTCTTCTTAGAAGGGGTGGCCAAGTCCTCATCAGCTTCGCCGAATGAGCGGGATAGTTGTGTTGCTGGCGTCTGAGAAGCTTCCTGCACAACTTCCTTGGTCTCGTCTTCTTGCTGCAGAGCAGTCGTTTGATCTTCGTCAACGATTATTGGGGTAGGTGTGGGTTCCGGGGTCGTCTCCACTGGGATCAGGTCTTCCGGTGCGGGTGCTGAGCCGACACCTGGAGCCGACGATGGCTGAGTGACGCCAGTATCGACTGGAATGATTGTCTCAGACACAAAGTCTTCCACGACCTCGGTGGCAGCTTGCTCTGGCAACTCTTCGATAACGACCGAAGGCTCTCCACGCTCTTCTAACTCGGCAACCACCTCCTCAACCTTCTTCTCCTGCTCTTCCTCAACTCCCCTCTTGACTATCTCCTTCTCAACATCCCCCTTTTCCTCATCCTTCTTCTCCTCCTCACGTGCCCTCTCCTCCCTCGCATCATCAATCTCCACCTCCTTCTTATCATCAAAATCATCAACAAGCTCGTTATTCGTAAAAGATTGGGGATATTGTGTCGGTATCCCCGAGAAAGGTAGTTGGGTCTCCGAAAGTGTAGGAATCGACAGAGACGGCTGAGTATCAGAGTTGGCTGCCTCAGGCGTCTCATCTGCTAAAAAAGGCTCCGCAGGTGTTGCCTTTTTAGCTTGCTTCTTGGCCTTCTTCTTGTCCTTCTTGGAGGAGGAAGGGGACGAAGGCGCTTCGAGCTCTCTGTCTGGCGGCTTGGGATCGCCTGGTGACGGGTCTGGTGCAGCGGTGGTTGGTGCAGGGTCTTCAGCTGGGGTTGAGGTGGTTGTTGGCTCCGAAGTTGCGGTGGGCTGCTCGAAGTATGCTTCAGCCTGGTTCGCCTCGCTGATAGAGTCCGCGACTGGCAGGGTACGGGGTTCATCCGCTTGGGGTAATTGCTCAGTAGTGGTCTCCTTAACCACTTCGGGAACAGATGACTGAGGCTCGGCAGAGAGAACCTTTGACAAATCCTCTGCAGGTATGGCTGGCCGGGATGGTTCTACCTCAGCAACGGACGCGCGTTTGGCTTTCTTCAGCTTCTTCTTTTGCGACTTCGATAGCCCAGCCCATTCCTCTGATTCTTGCTCGTCATCCGGCTGGACATCTGTAGAGGTGGCAGTGGTGCTGGGAATAGTCTGTGCGTCTGATGTGGTAGTCTCGACCGCGTTGTCAGCTGTAGGCGCAATGCTGAGCTGTTCGTTCTTGGTAGAGTCGTTCACATCGCGGCTGGTAGCTGGCTCCTTGCCTTCGTTGTCCTCAGTGGCGACTATAGCAGGGGCTATCGAATCGTCAACATCCGTGCGCGGAGCCTCGTCGATAGTCGTGGTTGTCGTGTCAGGCACCACCGAGGAAGGCTGCTCGATTAAAGTAGTTTCAGCTGCTTCGGTCAAAGGCTCGGCGGAGAGAATAGGGTCAGAAACCTCAGCCTCAGCGTTCTTGGCGGCTTGCTTGGCCTTCTTCTTGTCTTTCTTCGATTTCGACGACGCCTCCTCTTCTTCCGTAGGTTCCGTGACGGTCTGATCAACAACAGAAGTGGGGGCTGTTGTAACCTCGGAAACGTTAGGAGCAACGTCCGACTGCTCTATCTGCTCAACTGCTGGTACGGCAGGCTCTTGTTCAACAGCAAGAACGTCTTTGACAGCTTCCGTAAGCTCTCTAGCAGACTCATCAACCGGAGTGGAAGGCAGAGATGGCTCAGCCTCCGCGGCTGATACACTCTTGCTCTTCTTCGCCTTCTTCTTGTCTTTCTTGGAAGGTGTGGTTGGTTCATCGATGGTCGAGGATGTCGCTACGGGCTCCTCTGCCGAAGTCTCGGTCGGAATGGTGGCAGAGACTGGCTCGGAAGTCACTATCTCAGACGGGAGCTCTTCTACAACTGTGGTCGCAGGAAATTGCTCTTCTTCAACTGGAACGGCAGAAGGCACTTCGCTCTTGCGTGGCTCCTCAACAATCACGGGAGTTGCAGTAGGCTCCGTTGATGTGATTTCGGCAGGCTGCTGCTCAGGAATCGGGGCAGCAACGTCAGTAGCATCAAGAGCGCGCTCTAATGACTGTTCTGCTGGCGTCTCTACTTGAGTCTCTGTCTCCGCCTCAGCAATCGATTCGCGCTTTGCCTTCTTCGACTTCTTCTTGTCCTTCTTTGAGACCGGGCTGGTAAGCTCAGGCACAGCCTCAACTTGGCTGAGTTCTTCAGAAGCGGGCTCGAGTGTAGCAATGAGCTGTTCGGAAGGCGTAAGATGAGTTGAACTGTGTTCAGTAACTTCAGAGACATTGTTTGGCACTTCCACAACGGGAACTTCCGAAGCGGGTGCCTCTGTAGCTGAAGATGTAGGCTCTTCCAAGACTGGCTCAGTCTTCTCTTCGATAGGAGTTGACGGGATAGAAGTGGGCTCCTCAGCGATCGAGACGCGCTTGGCCTTCTTTGCTTTCTTCTTATCCTTCTTCGAGAGTGGAGCGGCGACTTCCTCAGTGACCTCGGGCACGGGTACATCGGCAGCCAGCGTCTCCTCAGTCGGCTTGGACACGACTGTTGCGACTGTTGCCTCCTTGGGAACTGATGCTTCCTCTTTCTCTTGAACCGACGCCCCGGCAACGGATGGGGCTGTGGTATCGACAGTCGCTTCGCGCTCCACAGACACTTCCGGCGCGGACTTGGTGTCAGAAGTAAGTTCCTCGGCTGTGGCGGTCTCAGGGACGATATCAGAAACGATCGTAGGCACAGGTGTCGGGTCCGCAGCAGGTTCAGGTACAGTCGCTGCTTGCTCAGGTTGGATAGTGTCCTTCTCCTCGGTTGTCGCTTCAGGAATAGAAGGAACAGTAGGCTCTTCGGCGATGGAAGCACGCTTAGCCTTCTTAGCCTTCTTCTTGCTCTTCTTGGAAGTAGACTCCTCCTCATGCTGTTCAGTCGCAGGCGCAACTTCCTCGTTCTCGACTACTGTGACTTCATCTTGCGCTCCAGTTGCAGGTGCGGTATCGGTCGAAGTGGTGACAGCGACGTCTTCAGCTAGGGGAATGCTTGGAAGTACATCGTCTTGACCTGCGGTGACCACTGGCATCGATCTTGGGGATGTAGCCTCGGGAACGATCTGCGTCTCAACGACGGGCTCGTCGATGGGTGTCTCTTGGACAATTGGCGGAACTTGTTCCTCGCGAGTTGGCTCACCAACGGTCCTCGAGACAGTCTCGACTGGCGCATAAGATATCTCGGGCATCTCACTCTCAACTTCAGCCTTCTTGGATTTCTTGGCCTTCTTCTTGTCTTTCTTTGAGAGTGGTGTCGCTTCCTCGGTGGCTTGCTCTGGGACAGATTCATTACGTGCTGGCTCAAGATTGATCGCCTGAACCACTTCCTCAACCTGCGCTGGCTCTGTAGGAGCGGGGATGTCTTGCTCAGTAGTAGAGGACTCGACAGGGGTAGACAGAACATTGGCAGTAGGCTCGGATGCTACCTCCCGACTAACTGATTCTTCAGTGGTCGCAGCGGTAGACGGAAGCGCTTCTTGGACAGTGGTTTCCGAGAAGACTGGCTCAGACTCGGTAACGGGAGTCTGAGGTTCGGAAACCAACTCACCCTTTCTGCCCTTCTTCTTCTTCTTGCTCTTCTTGGGTGTACTGGGAGCATCTTCGGCCTCAACCTGGTCTTGAACTTGTGAAGTCTCGGGCAGTGTCCTCTCCGTCGATGGTACGTCGTCGAGTGGACGCTCCGTAGTCTCGAGAGATGTTACCATGGAAGCAACATTGGGAGCTGAGTCGATTGGCTTATCGGAAGAGACATCGATGACGTTGGACTCGATCTCTGAAGGTTCCACAGTCTGACGTTGCTCAGTAGCCTTGGGTACAGCTACGTCAAGGTTGGCATCGGTAGTAGTATCCACTGTAGAAAGTTCAGGCAAAGGAGTTGCTGGGGTTTGTTCAACCTCAGCCACTTGGTTGGATTCCTCCTTCTTTGCCTTCTTCTTACTCTTCTTCGAGACAGGCTCGGCGCCCTCATTCTCGATGTCTTGGCTGGAAAGGGTAGGCGTAATCGAAGCTTCCTCGATGGACGTATCCTGCTGCGCGGATGGAACGTCCGTAACGCTCTCCTGGACGAGTGCAGGCTCATCGGTGTCAACGACTGTGCGAGTCGTTTCCTGCGAAGGTGCCGCGGTATCCTCAATACGTTTCTCATCTTGAACAGGCTCAGAAGGGACGTCGAACTGTGGTGCTGGCTCCTCAGTAACCGGTGTGCTGGGCTCAGTAGTGTCGATGGATTTGCCCTTCTTACCCTTCTTCTTCTTGCTCTTCTTCGAGATTGGCTCAGCTGGTTCGGCATCGGCGACAGGCTCAGCGGGAGCCACAGGAACGTCGATGTCTTGGCTGCGCTCTGGCTGTGTGGCATCCACCTTATCAGAGATGTTGGTAACGATTTCAGGCACAGCAGGAACGTTCTCCGCAGCCTCGACTTGGGGAATTGCAGGCTCGTCGAGGTCTTTGTCGTCGGTTTCAGGAAGAGCTACGAGCTCAGCTGGTGATGCTTCTTCTTGTGACTTCGCGGCCTCAACTTGAGGTATTCTCTGCTCTTTCAAGTCCCTGTCGTCGGTCTCGGGAAGAGCGACAAGCTCAGCCGATGGAGTCTCGCGCTCCGACTTGGAAGTCTCAACTGGCATCGATGGGGTAGTCTCAGCTGTGGGCACCTCAGGTTGAGCAGATTCCGCGAACGGGTCTGGTTGGGAAGAAGTTACTTCAGTGACAGGCGTGCTTGGCTCGGTGTCAGCCGACTTGCCCTTCTTCGCCTTCTTCTTCTTGCTCTTCTTCGATGGGGTTGCCGGCAGATCGTCCACGATCGGCTCGTCGATCTCTCGAGCTGGCGTCTCTGGAAGAGGTACTGCTTCTGCCTCGGTGGTTGAAGCCTCTTGCAATGGCTTTGATGGAACATCTTCGGCAGGCACCGAGGACTGAGAAACCTCCGCGATGGGCTCATCGATCTCGCGGGCCGGCGTCTCGGGAAGAGGCACCGCCTCTGCTCCGGCGACTGACTCTACAGGAACCTCAGGCGCGACTTCGATCGCTCGGTCTGCTGCGATTGCTTCAGTCTCGGCCTGAGCCTCTTGGATTGGCTTGGAGAATCCAGCGAGTGCGGCATCCTCAATTGACTCAGATTCAGGTCCAGCGGGTTCGATAGAAGGTTGGGTCTCCGTCTGCACATCGGCTAGGTCTGAAGAAGTGGGTTCAATCTCGACGGATTTACCCTTCTTGGCCTTCTTCTTCTTGGACTTCTTTGATGGCGTAGAAGGCTCTTCCTCCAATGGCGTGGCAGGTCGTGTTGGCTCTTCGACTGGGGCTTCTCGTGCAGGAGTTAGAACGTCCATGGGAGTCTGCCTCTCAGCGGTCTCGGCAGTGTCTTCAACAACCGCGCTGGGTTCCGGAATAACATCGACCGATACTTCTTGAACAGGCTCGGGATGTTGCTGTTCAAGCAGAGCTTCAGTAAACGGTGGAGGTTCAGGAGCCTGTAGAGTAGGCTCCATTTCGCGCTGGACTTCGGTGGTCGGGGTGGTCGGTGCTTCGTCATCGGCCTTCGCCTTCTTGCTCTTCTTCTTTTTCTTGTCTTTCTTAGAAGAAGATGGTGCTTCAGCAACATCATCGACCACTAGATCCGCAGGCTGGCTTGGCTCGGCGATTGGTGCATCTTCTGTCGGGACGATAGGAGCCTCAGACAGGGGCTCAAGTCGAGTTGGTTCGGCTGACGCAGAGATCTCGTTCGCACGCTCCGCAACGTCTGACTGCAGCTGTTCTCTGGGAAGGGCCGATCCAGTCTCCTCGGTAGCCGTATCCTTCGCATCGACGTTCTCCTTGACTGATGTCTCCGCACCGAAGAGTCCCTCCCCTTGACCAATCTCTCTACTCTTGCTCTCCTCCTCTTGACCCACAACCTCCTCCACAGGCGCCTCGACAGTCTTGCTCTTCTTCCCCTTCTTCTTCTTGTCTTTCTTCGAAGTAGGTGTCAATGGCGTGTCCTCAACTGTCTGTTCAACAGAAGAGGTGACTTCGTCCACCGACTTCGGCTGCTCCAATGGTGTTGAGAGATCTTCATCGAAGCTCTCTGTTGGGAGAGGGACAGTCGCGGCATCCGCTCCGTCGTCACGCTTCTGCTCGAGTAGTGAGGTCTCTACAGTGGCAACTTGCTTGTCCGATGAAGGTAGCTCGATGTCGCGGGATCGATCAACTACTTCGCTTGGAGTTGCAACTGGTTCGCTGATCGGGGCAGATGTCTCGAAGGGTGCCGCGCTCTGCTCAGGTACAACTTCAGCATCAGGCTGGGGTGTCACAGTGCCGCTCTTCCGCTTGCTCTTCTTGCCCTTTTTGGTCTTCGGTGTAGTAGGAAGCTCAGCTTCTACAGATGCAGAAGAGGGCTCGAGAATTGTCTCCTGCTCGGCAGGGGCATCTCTGGGGAGTGCCTCTTCGAGAGGCTGTGTGAGGTCTTCATCGGGTTGCTCCACAGGCAAAGGAATGTTGGCGGCCTCGACAATCGGAGGTTGGATAACGTCCGGAACGGAAGTCGGCTGATCGGCGATAGACTCAGAAGCTGTAACAGAAGATGGTTCGGTAGCAGTCATAGGCTTCTCCTGAGGCGTGGAGATACCGCTCTTCTTCCTACTCTTCTTGCTCTTCTTTGTCTTTGGCGCATCTTCTTGAGCAGAAGGCACGGACTCAGCTGGTGCTTCACGCTCTGCTGGTGTGGCCACATTGAGGGGCAGAGAGGGTTCTTCACGGGAAGGCTCTTCAACTGTCGGTGCGAGCTCGGATACAAGCTCTGCAGCCTCCGTGTTAGAGGGCGCGATCTTCTCTTGCACGACCTCTGCGGATGCCGGTTCGGCAGCAGTCTCGGTGACAGGTGCAGATTCGCTTGCAGGAGCATCCAGCGAACGTTCGGCAGCAGGTTGGGTCGGAGTCGTTGGGGCTGCGTTCTCGACCTCAGTGCTTTCGAGTTCAGCCTTCTTGCTCCTTTTGCTCTTTTTGGCCTTCTTCTTGCTGACAGGTGACGTGACTCCATCTTCGGCGATGGTGATTGGCTCTGTAGTAACTGGTTGCTCGGGCATGACGGTACGTTCGGCAGAATCAACGATAGGCGGCTCTTCAGTCAGAGGAGTTGGCTCAGATACTAGCTGTTCGCCCCAAGCTTCGATCGCAGATTCCAAAGGAGTCTCAGCAGGTTTGGCTGCTTCAGGGTCAGGCCTAACAGGCTCAGCGGTCACCTGGTCGCCCATGTCCCTTGCCGCCGTGTCAACTGGAGCATCGGCAGACTTGGCAGCGTCTGCTGCAGGCTCATCGAAATCGGGAATTGGTACGCTGCTCTTCTTCGCCTTCTTCTCCTTCTTGGTCTTGATAATCTTCTTCTTTGACGAGCTAGGTTCCACCGAGATTCGGTCATAAGCAGAACCGCTAGACTCAGTCGGGGTGAAGTCAGCGATGGTGCTGGTGGGCTTCCCAGCATCAGTGAACAACCCACTTCGGCCAAGAGACAGTTGCTCCGCAGGCTTCTCTTCAACGATGGTGTCTTTGCTGGTCGTTGTCGAGGGCGCGGCAGGTGCGGACACTGATGGGTACGAGAACGAAGGCTTGCCATTATCGGTGAAGAAACTGGTCTGAGGTGCAACGAACACAGCTGGCTCAGGTGTCTTCGCAGGGGCCTTTTCATCGACAGTGGAGGGAGTTTGCTCAGTAGGCTTTGGTACTGATGGGAATGCGAACGATGGTCTTCCATCATCAGTGAAGAAGCTGCTTCGGGGCGCAACGAATGTGGGCTTTTGCTCTTCCACAACCTCTGCTTCCTTTGCGACCGAAGGAGCTTGCTCGGTAGTCGTGGATGGCATCGAAGGGAACGAGAACGAAGGCTTGCCATCATCCGTGAAGAAAGCGTTGCGTGGCGAGACGTCAACAGGAGCCGGTGTATCATTCGCGACTGGAACTTCTCTAGATGCGACGCTTGACTCAACCGCGGGGGCGGGTGACGTCTTCGGGAATGTGAACGATGGTTTGCCGTTGTCGGTGAAGAATGCGGTACGCGGGGACACAAACGCAGGGCTCTTTTCCTCTTTGGCAACAGGTGCCTCTTCGGGCTCGGTCGTTGGCTCAACTGCAGGCTTGGTAGATACTGGTGGGAACGTGAAAGACGGCTTGCCGTCGTCAGTGAAGAAGGCAGTAGATGGAGTGGCATCCTCAGATTGCTTTGTAGCCTTCTCTTCAACGACAGGAGCCTCCTTGGGAGTCTCGATAGATAGTTGTTGAGGCGCCGTGGAAGCCTGAGGGAATGCGAAAGAGGGTTTGCCATCATCAGTGAAGATCGCAGTGGGAGCTGTGGTGCTCGAGCTAGCTTCTTCCTTGACAATTTCGCGGGTCGTAGCCTCAGTAGGTCGTTGTGTAGGAACAGATGACCTCCTAGACTCGATCTTCTGCAGCAACTCCGGCTTTGACGTCTCATCCTGCGTCTTCACTCGGGAGATGGAAGGCTTCTTCTCAGACTTGGAACTCTTCCTCTCAGACACTGTTGGTGAGGATGGTTGTGACTTGCGCTTGGCCTCTTCTCTCGCTGCAGCTAGTGCGGCGAGGACGGCAGATTGGGGCTTCGGAGAAGACGGAGGCTCAGATGTTGGCGGCGGCGGGGCCTTCTTCTTGCCCCATCCGATAGCACCCCACAGGCCGGAACCCCAGCCTGAACCTGCCGATTGACCTTCGATGCCAGAGGCCCGGCGGTTCTCTTCGACGGGAGTGTTCTTGGTTTGTTCGGCGCCATCCGCTGTGCTAGGCCGAGCTGGAACCTCTGGTGTGGCAGGCCCAGCTGGAACTTCCGACCTGGGCTCTTCGGGGTTTGCTGGAGTAATGGATGCAGGCTCTGTCTCTTGTTGGACTGCTTCGTTGGTCGAAGTAGCTGGTGGTTCTTCGGGGATTGCTGGAGTAATAGGTGCAGGCTCTGTCTCTTGTTGGACTGCTTCATCGGTCGAAGTGACTGGTGCCTCTTCTTGAACCAAGAATTCCATGACATTAACCTTATCCTTGGGCTCTTCGGCTTTGTCCTTGCGCACATCGCGTTCGAAAGATGGCTCGAGGATATCGCGTTCAATGGTGTCTTGCTGCGACTCGGACGAAGGCAAGATCTGATCATCTTGAGTAGGGACCTCTGGAAGGGTTTCCGGCTCGGCCTCAGCCTCAGTTTGCTTGTTGCCGCGTTTACCCTTCTTGTTCTTCTTCGCCTTCTTGGACTTGGGTGTAGTCGCAACTTCCTCCTCGATGACCGGCTCAGGAATTGAGGGTTCAGCAGATTTGGAAGAGCTGGGTTCGACAGGAGCGTCTTGTGAAATTTCGACAGTCGTAGCAGCCGGTTCGGTAGTGATCCCAAGACCCTGCTTTGCCTCTTCGACAGGTTCGATTGATCTCGCAGTTTCTTGACGGATATGATCAAAGACAGCGCGTCTAACCTCGGTGGATTCGTCCTCTTTTGGTGCAGTAGTGTCCAGAACCTTCTGTTGAAAGGCCTTGGTATCCTTGGGCGTTCCGACAGGCTCACCAACAAGCGTAGCATCGTCCGTAACGACGGACTCAGTCCTGTTCTTGGCCCAATCTTCCTCGTTGTCAACGAATGTAGTGGCGAAGCTGAAGGAGGGCGATGGCTTCATCATCTCCTCAGGTGATTGAGCTACGGACGATGGGATAACAGGCGACGGGGCTACGGGAGACTCGGCAGCGACGGGCTCCTTACCCTTCTTACTTTTCTTGGTCTTCTTGGCCTTACCCTTGCCCTTTGGCGATGGTTCGACAACAGTTTCGATGGTTTCGGGCTCAGGTTGCTCTGGCTCAGCAGCGGACGAAGCTTTATCTTTGGTGTCATCGCGCTGAGATCGAGTTGGTGAAGGAGAGCGTTTTCGCAAAGCAGCTGCTGTCAATCCACCCACTACTGCGCTAAGAGCAGCGTCTTGGAGTCTTGATGAGCTGCTCGAGGGGGCAGAAGCAGTGTCGCGGGACTTGGGAACGTCGCGCATCATCTTGTCGTCGAGCGGCGCGCTTGTCTCAAGAGGAGTCTCCGCCTGTGGGGAGGTCAAAGTCGACATGAAATCGTCAGTGGACGAATCCTGTTCCTGTGCTCTGGCATGCTCCAGTGCCGCGGTGAGCGATTCATAGTTTGGACCGCTAGACGGTGCCGACGCTTCCTGGGCACCTGTGAAGTAGTCAGAGGCCTTGGGTGTAGCTTGGCCAGATTCTTCGACCTCTTCAATCTCGCGATGTGCAAGCTCGGGATGCTGAAGCTCCGGTCCATGGCTGGGCGCAGTGAGATCAGCCACGGCACTCAAAGGATCGAAAAATGAGTCATAAGATGACTGTCCAGCGCTCTCATAAGGTGACTCTTGAGCAGACTCAAACTCTTCTTCTGAATCGGCGCCAGAGACTACTGAAGAGGCACTACTGGGTGGAAGTGCTGGCAACACCTCATCGATCTCATTGGACTTGCGGTTGCGCTCCACCAGATACAAAGGTCGGAACTCTCGAGAGTTCCTAAACTCTGTGGAGTGCGTCTTGCCATGGCGAGAACGGGTTGGTGAAGGGCCAGGAAGAGGATCAGCTGCTAAGCTAGGGTCAACGGTAGAGGGTATAACGGGCTTGCGGAAGCGTATGGGAACTGCCGTTGATGATAGTCGACGTTGAGAAATCGCGGTCGAAGGACGTGTGACGTCTGGCGAACGTGTTGGCGAACCTGGCCTAGACAGCGGCAGCGGAGGTAGCTCATCGGGGAAAGCTTCCAGCTGCCAAGGCTGAAGGCCTGTAAGACGAGTTAGAAGCGCGCGGCTGTCTTCGAACGATAGTTCGGGCGGTAGGTCGTTGTCTCCAGAGGCGGTGAAGCGTTGGGCATCATCCGAGGTCGAAAGAGGAAACTCGGCCCGATCTCCAAGGATTATGCCACTACCCTCGTGGGCCTGATCGACAGGCTCACTTACGGGCAGTGGACTTGGAGTGGCTGTGGTCACTGCCCGATCGCCTAAAAAAGACTGCTGTTGTGGTTGTTGTTGTTCATCGGCATGCGAGTGCGGGGTTCGAGGTGGTAAGAGATCCTATAAACACGACATCAACATTCATTCTAAATACATTGCGAACAACGGTGCTATCGCACATGAGAAGAGCGATGTACCTTGTCATCATAAGCATCCGTCCTGTCTCCGTCTCCTCTCTCGCTACGACTGCGGCTGCTCCTCTTTTCGCGTCGACTACTGGTCGAGATCGTGGAGCGCATGTCATCATCGTCTGAGCCGCCGTAGGTAGAACCGCGATCCGACCGATGCTTCCGTCTACGATGTTTGCGTTCTTCATCGTCGTCGTCCTTAGATTTCGAGGACTTGCTTGAAGCTTCTTTCAAGTTCTCCCTCGACTTGCTGCCGAAAAGGCCCAGGAAGCCACTTGGACGTTTCTCCTTCTCCCTCCTTGAGCTGCGATCCTCGTCTAGATCTGGGATTGAGGATACGACGGATACCATGTCATCATCTCGTTTGGATCGTCTCCGGGAGGACTTGCGATCATCATCGTAGTCGCCGAGTTCGGAAGCTGCTGTGGAGCGTGATCTAGTCTTGGTCTCGGGTGATGCGTCTCTGTCGCCATCCCTTCTCCTGTGCTTGCGTCGTCGCTCGCCAGTCTCGGAGATGGCGGATTTCGTGTCCCAGTCGTCAGCGCCCTCATCAGCCTCATGATGGCGATGTCTTCGCCTCCGTTCTCCACCCTCTTCAAGATCGTACCCGCGGTCGTGGCTCTTCTCACGTGTCTCGGACTTGGCTTCGCGACGTCTGCGGCGTCTCTCCTCGCGATCGGGGTCGTCATACTTGTAGCTCAGAGAAGCGATTGAGCCCACATCGTCATCATCGTACCTGCGTGGTCTGTCGTCGAAGTCATCATCGTATCTGTCATCGACATCCTGGTCGCGATCGTTTCGTGAGTGCCTGTCCTTCGCCTCCTCGTTGAAGTCTGCGGGATAGAATCCATTCGATTCTTTTTCGTTGCCCGCCCGGCTCGGCACATCGTCGGGAGCATAGTACCCAGAGTCGGTTACGTTATGGGCGGTGACCGGATCATGAGCCATCGTGAACGGCGCTGCGGTGGGAACCTTTGGGGCCTCGACCATCGTTTGGTATCTGGAAGGATCGGGAATGGTGCGGGCGTTTATGTAGTCGTCATACGTCGTCTCGGTCCTGAGAGGAGAACTGATGCTGGGTGACCATTTGCCGCTGCTGTGTCTTTTCTGGACTTTCGGCCTGGGTGTCTTATCGGCCAGCTCCTCAACGCCCTCGAATGCGTAGCTTGGGATTGTTACATTCTTCTCATTTCGTTCGAGTGCACGTGCGCCATTCGGTGGAGATACAGGAGAGTCGCGTGAATGGTGCTTCTCTGTGGACTCAAGATCCTTCCTGGCACGCTCGGCATCCGAGGCCATCCTGTTTTGATCCTGGTTCATGGTCATACCCATTAGAGCAGCGAAACCACCGGCCATGGCAGCGGTGGAGGCTTTACTGCCGCTGCTCTCACCTTGTCGTGCGGGCTTCTTAGGAGGACTAGGGGACTCTTGGAATGCTTCTCCTAGACGTGGTGGTTCGGCAGATCGAGATGGCTCAGTTGAGCGAGAAGAGTCGGCGAATCGTGAGGTTTCAGCAGACCGAGAGGGCTCAATATCCCTGGGATCTCGGGAGGGCTCAATGTCCCTGGGATCGCGGTCCATGACCGGGCTTGATGGCGGACTGGGATCACTCATCTCCCAAGTGTCCACACTGGCTCGCTTCGATGACTTGGACTTCTTCTTCTTGTCCTTCTTCTCCTTCTTGCTGAGCTTGGCCTCTGGCTCGGCTTCCCTCTCTTTCACTGCAGGTGTTGGCTCTCCACGTCGAGAAACATTCTGCATAGCTACAACTTCGTCAGTATCGTTAGCCTTGTTCTTACCCTTTGTGTCCTTCGTCGCGGACGATGCCGGCGGCTCTTCTGCGAACACCTCAGACTCAGGTATGTCGTCCCAGCCGCCGGGCATGTGCATCGACACTGGCGGTGTAGGAATCTCGCCTTCAACAAAGCCAGGTCCCACTGTACTCTGTTGGGGCGTCCTCCACGCGTCGCGCTCTGACTCAGGCTGCCAGTATGCCGTCTGAACGCTGCTCGTAGATGGCACAGCTGAGATGATGGAAGGAGTGACTGTGGAAGATGGCGCAGCAGAGATGATCGATGGAGCGATAGTTGACGGGGCCCTGTTTCCATCAGAGAACGGGTTGCTGAGGGAAGACGCGGTAGGATTGCTGAATCCAGCTGCAGTAGCATTGCTGACAACAGTGCTGACGGTAGACGCAGTTGGATCGCTGAAATCGTAGGAAGTCGCACTGCTGAGGTTTGATGCAGTCGGGTTGCTCAGGGCAGATGCAGTTGGATTGTCGCGTCTGTAGCTACGCTCGTCCTCTTGATCTCGTTGATCTCGGGAAAGAACCGCTGCAGTCGTTAGTGCTGCTGCTGCCGCCGCTGCAGCTGACTTCTTCTCCTTCTTGTTGCTCTTCTTGGAAGCAGCATCCACGACACTGTCCCAGCTGGAGTCCTTCTCGTCCCGAACGTATTGCGTGCTTGGTGCAGTCTCCTTGCTCTCGGGGACTCTTGACATCTCGGGGCGGTAGGGTGTGTAGGTGGATGTCGTCTGTTCGGGCTTAGGCGGCTCGCGCTCGACCGTGGCTTCACGCGACCTGAGATCGCCATCTGAGACAAATTGCTCGCGGTAAGATTCCGGAGTAGGTACGTCAAAGTGGTGGAACTGGTTCTCGCCCCAGCTTACCCTAGACCTTGCTCGGTTCGATTCGTCATCTCTTGGCTCGCGTCTAGTCTCTCTAGTCTCCCTGATAGGCTCCATTGCTGGTGATGGAGGGGCAGATGCACTGCGTACAGAAGGTGTGCGACTACCGGGAGGAGTAGGCAAGATGAGGTTCAGCGATGGAACTTGAGGTAGCGGTTGTGGTTGAGAGGACCGACCATTTCTGGTGGCAGTGAATGCGTACGACGGAGGATAAGGAGGGAGCTTGGGCTGGCTGACAGGATAGTCTTCCCAGGATTGGTAGATGGGTAGATCTGGAGCACCCTCGTTCGGGTCTACTGGGCGGACCTTGGGCAGGTTGTCGTTGGCCAAGAGCTCTTCCGGTGCGAAGAATTCAGCTTGAGATACTGGCTTTGCATAGTACCTTTGTTCCCAATCTTGAAGGACTTCGCGAGCCTCCTGGCGTGAATTGTCCTTCTGCTTAAACATATCGGGGTTGAAGATGTCCTCGTCAAAAATGTCCTGCTTGACTTTGCTGGGTTCGATAGTCTTGACGCTGGTTGGCTCCCGCTTCTTGCTGCTCTTCGAGGATGAAGCTTCACTCTTGCTGCTCTTGGACGAAGAAGAGTCGTTCTTGCTGCGCTTCCACGAGGAGGATTCGCTCTTGCTGCTCTTCGTTGAAGACGAAGACTTGCTATCGCGCTTCTTCTCGCGCTCCCTCTCCTTCTCCTTGTCCTTGTTGTCCTTGTAGTCCTTGATCGCGGCAGTTGCGATTGCTGCTGCAGCACCAGCAGCTACTGCGCCAGCAACGGAAGACTTCTTGTCAGACTTGAAAGCCTCGCGTTCGCGGTCTTGTAGCTCCTGCTCCTTGCGTTGTACAACGGTGGCAGTCGAAGCCATTGAATCTCCTGTTGGCTGCTGTTCAAGCTTCCGAGCCCGGTCGCTCTCGTATCGGTCGGTGTAGTCCTGAGCTTCGCGTTCCCTGCGTCGGCGCTCCATGTCCTCTTGAATCTCAGCTTCACGTCTCGCGGCATCGATGCGCTCAGCTTCTTGTTGTTGAGATTCACGGCGCTCTCTCCGTTTGCGCTCAGCCTCCGCAGCCTCGATGGCGAGCTGACGCTGGCGCTCCATTTCGGACATCCGTTGATGACGTTCGCGGTCTTCGGCTTCCCGAGCGAGGCGTGCCTGGACCTCTTGCTGTTCGCGACGGCGTTCGTTCTCGAGCCTCGCCAAGCGTTCGATGTCCATGAACTTGCGTGCCTCCTCCTGCTGCCGTTGCAGCTCCAGGCGACGTCGCTCGTCTTCATCTCGGCGTCGCGCTTCTTCTTGGCGTGTCGTTTCCTCCAAGCGGAGCAATGTCTGCCGGCGGTCTTCTTCAATCCGTCGAGCCTCATCCTCTTGTAGCTGCCGTTCTCTGCGCAGGCGATCCTCTTCCTCACGGAGCGCAAGTGCCGCTCGCCGGGCCTCTTCCTCTTGTCGCAGCTGTTCTCGACGCACTCGGTCTTCCTCTTCCCGACGCGCCTCGTCCTCGCGTCTCTGTTGTTCTCGGCGACGCTCGGCCTCCTCGTCTAGTCGCTCCTGCTCCTTCCGCCGCTCACGGAGGTCCTTCTCTGCCTGCTCTTGTGTCAGGTTGAAGCGAACATTGCTAGACGCGGACGGCGGTCGGCTCGGAGGTCGGTCGGGGTGTTTCATCGCAGAAACTGCTGCAAATCCGGCAGTCGCTGCAAGTCCAGCAATAGACGCATCTCGCTTCCACGAGCTTTGGATGGGAGAAGAGTTTGCCCGACGGAATTGAGGATGCTGAGGATTTTGAATGATAATGTTTTGAACTTGAGACTGCGTGGGATAAGGGGGTGGGTAAGGTGCTGGTGGGAAGTCTGAAGGACCTGCTGTGGTGTACGCAGATTGTGATGGTGCTTGTGTTGAGTAGATGGCGCCGGGGACTTGCTGCACTGGCTGAGGGTGTTGAATGGGGATGGGACCAGGTCCTGAGGTGACAATAGGCTGATTGGTGACGATAGAGCTTGTACGGCGTGCATCGAACGACGCATTGGGGTCATGGGGTGCGACAGGATAGACCGACTGCAATGTTTGGGCGCTACTAGACTCGCTGTCGTGGTGTCCATGAGCAGCTCCAACAGCGGCGCCGGTCAAGGCACCTGCTGCGCCAGCTGCGGCAGGCCCAATGAGCGATGTACTAGCGATGTTGTCGTAGAGGTTGTTGGAAGATCTTCTCTTCTTGCCAAAGCCCCATCGCCAGCCCCATTTGTTCGTACCTGAGTGGTTAGATCCGATAGACTCGTTGCTCTTGGTCTTCTTCAGGGAGTAATCGCCGTATACAAGACCGCCATCACTCGAAGAGTCGGAAGTACCATCGTCTGGCAAGTCCTCCCACTCGTCGTCTCCATAACGGGACGCGGGCCGCGAAGAAGTTTGACTGGTCTTGCGACCAAGACGGTTCTCCTTCACAGCAACGACCTCGTTGTGGCGTTTGCCCTTGCCGGCCTTCGCGGCTGTGATAGCAGCAGCCGTAGCGCCAAGACCAAGTAGGGAAGCTTTCAGTCGCTCATCCGAGTTTCGTCTCTTCGGCGACGATCGTCTGCGCGTCCTCCTTACGTAGCCGGTGCCGAATGCCATCTCGGAGTCGGATGAGGATGTTGAAGCGTTGCTGAAGCTGAAGAAACCCTTCTTCTTCTTCTTCAGGCTATTGGCTGTCTTCACTCGCTTCTCCTTTGGTGGAGGTGCAGAGAAGAAGCCTCCAAGGAAGCCACCCTGGGACTCGTGATTCTGGCCTATCTCGATGACAGAGGCTCCGGATGTTGAGCTTCGAGATGCTTTGTGTCGTAGTGAATGCGATCTTCTCCTGCGACGCTCATCGTCACTGCTGTCTCTGCGGTGATGAACCACTTGGACCCTCTTCGGGGACCTGGATCGGCTGTGCTGCTTCTTCTTTGTGGCTGCTCCAAGGGCGACTCCTGCAAGACCTGCACCAATGGCAGTGCCGATCAGGCCTGTCTTGCCGCGTCCTGAGTTGGAGCTTGAAGTTGAGCTTGAGCGAGAACGGCGCGACCGAGACTGGCGGCGAACAACCTTGTGATCCTTACGGTCCTTTTTGTCGCTCGTAACGCCTACGGACATGACGGAAATGCGGTCAGCAGAATGGCTCCGGTGGCGGATGCCAGAGCTACCGTAGCTGTAACTCTTGCGATCCCCTGATCTGCTGCGGCTGTGTCGTGAGACCCTCGACCGACCGGACTTGATGCTGTATGTGTCGTCGAAGTCGTCGCGACCCGCGCTGAAGACAGCCTTTCCAGCCTTGGCAAGGCCAATGCCGCCCAGGCCTGCAGCTACCCAGCCCGCGGCGCTGCTCTTGTTCTTGCGACGCTCCTCACCCGAGGAGATTGAGCCCCAAGACTTCTTCTCCTTGAGCGAGTATCGAGATTGCTTCTCAATGCCACCAGTGGGTCGCATAAACTCATTGGATCGCCGTTTGTAGTAGTGGTGCTTCCGTGGGGCGTCCAGGACGGAAGAGCGAGGGTCAAAGCAACCCTTGCAAACTCCAATGTACTCGGTGTACTCTTCCATCTTCTGCACATCTTCGTAGTCTTTCCACCAGTCGACAAACTTGGAGACAGGCCCAGTGTGCTGATGCTGGTGAGCCATGCCGCCTGAGATGTATGGACTGGGTGTAAGGCCATTTTGATGGTGTCCGTTGGGGCCGTGTGTCGAAGGGTGATGGTGTGTGCTGTGCGAGTGTGTGTGGGTGTTGGAGTGGGTGTGTGAATGTGAATTATGTTGGTTTAAGCCATAAGCCGCCAGTCCTGCGGCGCCAGCAGCGTACAGTCCAGCCATGCTGCCAGACGAGTGCTTTTCTGGCTTGGCTGGCCGAGGTGGCTTTGGAGGAGGCGCGCCTTCCACGCCGTAGGCGGCGGCTGCAGCATAGGGTGGGAGGTAGCTGCCGTCGTTGGCAGCGGTATTAGAAGCATTAGATCCCGGGCCGTACATGTTGTACGTGGAAGCCGGAGCAGCCGGGGGGGTATTATTAGTATAAGAAGAGTATGATGTAGAAGGGCGAACATTCGATGAGCTGTAGCTCGTGGTGTGTTCGTGATTAGAGGAGCTGTGGCCCATGGCATATCCCAGGGCAGCTCCGCCGGCCGCAGTAGCAGCTGGGCCGAAGGTGCTCGACTTGTTGGGTCTCGACGAAGATGCGGGTCGCGGTGGTTTCTGGGGCGTCGGGGTGTCGTCGACGAAGGCACCGGGCATGGACGAGCTCGATGGTCGTGGAGGCCTGGATGAAGAGCCATTTGTGCTGGGCCCGTAGAAGTCTGCAGCGGCGCCCGATCCGGTGTCGGCAACCGGGTTGGGCTGCGCGGAGGCAGACATGAGATGGGGGGTATCCTGTCCTATGATGACAGAGGGCGGCTGGGGCCTCACGCCAGGCTGTTGGTGCACTGACTGGCCCTGGTCGTTGTAGAAGTCGGCAGCCGCTCCGAATGGATGGCCGCCAGGGAGCGCGCTCGAGGTGTATCGCAGAGGGTCCTGGCCGGGGAACTGGCTCTGCACGTGATCGTCCATGTCGTCGTGGTGTGGTGGGTGGCTTCCTACTGGCAGAGCGCCCGACATCATGGGCGCTCCTGCCTGTCCTGGGAACTGCGAGAAGCCGTCGCTGCCAATCTGGCCGCTGAAGCTGCGCTGGACCGACTTGGGACTGTCAACAATCTCGCCCCTGTAGCCGGCGCCAGTTTGCGACGTGCTGCCGGACCGCACTGAGCGCGTCGAGCGGCGCTTCTCGAGCTTCTTGTCCTTGGCCTTGCCCGTCTTGCGGTCCTTGTCGTCGCGCAGTGTCGAGCTGGACGACTCGGCATAGCTGCTGCGGCGATCGTCGCGACGCATGTTGTCGTCGTCGTAGGGACCGCTCGTGTTGTTTGTTGTGGCCCGTGAGCGCGGCATCTCGTCGAAGGCAGTCGTGAAGGAGGCAATCGAGGACGCGGAAGGCGCAGTGTCACGTTTAGATGAGGCCGATGTCGATGGCTTGCGCGTCGTCGACGATGACACGACGGAGCGGGCGTCTGGGTCGCGCTTGGAACGCGTGGAGTCGCTAGTACGGCGGCGGCGACTTTCCTCGTCCTTGTTGCTGTTGGAGGCAGCAGAGCTACCGGTCAATCTGCTCCACATGATGGCGCAGGACTGCAGTCAGGATCGCGGGGGCGCGGATGCGTTGTTATTACAAAGTGGTGCTGGCAATGGGTCGGGCGCAAATGAGATGAGTCTCTTGGTGGGATATGCTGGGTATATCGCTGCAGACAGTCGCAAGTGAGAGAGAATCGTTCAAATCGTCATGTCGTGATGATATAGTACAGGTTTCCGATGCAGAATGGCTAGGAAAGTATGCGCGCAATGCCCAAGGACAACCAAAGCAGCCTCTCGCGGTACTAATCGCAAAGATTGGTGTGGTGCAGAGCAGCTGAAGTGCTCGGCTTGGGACGTAAGCCCCAGCAACCGAGTGAGTTGGCGGCAAGGGTTAGCTCGATCCACACGGGATGGAGGCGAGGCTGGGCCAATAGCTGCCCGATGGCAAACGCTTCTTCTGCGGATCTTTACCGGGGCTTCTTCCGGGGCTGTTCTCGCTGTCATCGAGAACATGTTGATCAAAGTGAACTGTGCAGCCTGGGGCGCGGAAATCTAGGCTTGTGGTTCTGGCAGTTAGTAGTAGCTCTTGCTGCGTGTTGCGAGCTCCTCCCACGACCTTCATCGGACACAGTCAGGGCGCGCGGAGATTTCCGAGGCCATCAGTGTAGTTATCTTGCATGTTCAATGTTGGTTAGGCCGCCGAAATCTTTAAACCCGATCGTTGATAGTCAAACATCACCCAGTCGCATCGACAAGGATTACAACAAAAACAAGGCGCGCGTGTGACATTGAATCCATTTTTGCATTAATCAGGCTTGTGCGACCTGTGTGCATCTATTCGCGACTGTGCTATGCAGTCCTTCTGAGGAGCCACTCATTACACTCCACATGTTCCTTCACGTTTCTGCACGTCCAATCCATCATCATCTGCATAGCCTGAGTCATCCGATTCGAATCCAGAGTCTGATGATGCATCCAAATCACGACTCATCATTTCCCAGGTCTCGCTTTCTTCTGGGAGAGTTTTCAAGCTGTACAAGCCATATGAGAACATCGCTTCTTTTAAGCACTGCGCCCTGGAGCAGCGATCGGGGTATTTCATGATTTCCAGTAAGCTCCGTGCGATGAGATCAGGTTGTGTTGTGCTCTGTCCTACGTCGCGTAGTATGCACCAAAGGACCTCCGCGCCCCGCTCGTGGAACAAGCGGTCTCTCATAGCAAGACCAAGGCCAACTTTCCGCTTCTTATGAAGCTGCTCGAAGTCTCGGCGCAACTAGGGCCGCCCACCAGCCATCAACATCTGCCGTATTTGCAGGATTTGGGCGCGGTGCTCTGGTGCCAACTGGTCAATCTGCTGCTGCGACAGCGCCATGACTTGGGCATACAGCGCCTGCTGGTCCATTCCAGGCGCTTGTGGTTGCTGTTGCTGTGGAGGCTGCGCGTACGGCTGCGCGACGGGTGGCTGAGTTTGGGGAGGTGTAGGCGCGACTTGTGGTGGGTATCCGGGGTAGTTCACAGGCGGTCGCGCAACTTGCGGTGGTGGCTGCTGTACTTGCTGAACAGGTGGAGCCTGCGCAACTGGGGCAGGCGCGGCCGATGTCTCCACAAGCGAGGTCAGGATTTGTGGGTCGACCAGCTGGAGGAGCAGTAGCGACTGAAAGATGGCATAAGCCAGCTGAGGCGCTTGTCGCAGCAGCTCCGTCGCCTTTGCGGGGTCCGTCATGACAAGGCCTTTCATCTGCGAGAGGATATCGAGGAGCTGATCGGGAGGGAGTGTAGAGAGCGTGCGCGAGATGGCATCGGGGCAGGTGAGGTTCGGCGGCAGCTCGACGCCTGGTGGAAGAGGGCCCAGCGCGCTCGACGGTTGCGCCGGTGCTGGTGCTGCGGGTTGTTGGCCGTTCATGGCTGGTTGTGTAGTCTGGTCGCGGTTGGAAGGCGCGTTGTCGCCGGAGCCGCTCTCGTTGGACCAGTCGACCCTCAGCTTCCTGCCCATCAGATCGTAGTCGTTGAGGTTGCGCACGGCGGAGGCTGCGGCGTCAGCGTCGGCGAACTCTGCGAAGCCAAAGCCCTTGGGGCGCCCGGTTTCCTTGTCGTACACCAAGCGAAAGTTGAGGACCTGTCCGACGCGCCCGAGGGTTTCGATGATGAGCTCTTCAGTGCCGCCTGGGTTTGTTAGCTCGGCTTAGGGATACAGTGGTGTTAAAGAGGCAGATTTGGAAGATCTGGCGTCAATGTAGGCGCCAGGGTGAGCAGTCGCATACCGTAGGGAATGTTGCCGATGAAAACAACTCTGCCCGCTTTGTCGTTGGGCGCCATCGCTTTGCAGACTCGATATTGATGAAGAGATCGCTGGAAGGTACACGGTGAAAGAGGGTCGGGATATCGCGGGAGATCGAGTGAGTGTTTCTTTGAGGCTTCGAAGGTTCCGCGAGGCATGAGCTTTGGACCGTGACTAGCGCGACTCTGGGCTTGGCGCGTCTTACCTGCTGAGCAGGCACACGACCAACTCTTCCCTTCCAAGGTTGGACATGGTTTGTCCACAATTTGAGCGCATTTTACTATATTGACATTCTTTTTCATGCTCGTAGCTTTGCATCGATATCAATCTTGGCTCTGGACGATCGCATGGTATCTCACAAATAATTTTCGCAATGTTTCGTGATGATGTTCAATTGGTGAAAACTACAACTCTACAACTTCGCCGCCGACGGCGCACAACACGTACCGTCCTCACCAATCGTCGCAGTAACACTAGGCTGCTGGTGCTGCTCGCTCAACAAGCTGCTCTTGTTAAACGCCTGCTCACTCGGCGGTACATCCAGCGCAGGGTTCTTATCGAAGAAGTTGACTGGCTTCATATGGATCTTGATGATCTCGCAAGGCATAACGGGGAAGTCCTCAATACGAGGCACGTGGTTGATGCCCGCTTGGATGTAGACGACAAAGTCCGTGTCTTTGACGCTGTCGTTCCTCTCCGCCCAACTCCGCACTCCCGTTCCACCACGACTCTGGTTGGTGTAGGTACCGCCTGCGTACAACTCGCCGTCCTTGTGCTTGACGACGTAGATGTTGTGGTCGGAGAATTCGGCGCGCTTGTAGTTGAAAGAGTCCTTGTCGGAAAGGATCTTTTGGAACGGCGGCGCTTGGATCTTGTATGCGACTGGCTTTCCGTTGATGGGATTTCGCACGTTCGGGTTTTGGATCTTGAAGGTGCGGTTGTTCTCGTATGCGATGTCGTAGCCGCCAGACTTGTCTACAACCGTCTCTTGAACGTAGTAGCCAGTACCGTGGGGGTTGAAGTCTGAGCGCGGCATCGGGAACGCCTCGTCGTACACGAGTCTGTTGTCATACCCGTCTATCATGGGGTCGACGCGCAATGAGAAGATGTGTTGATGGTGGACGGCAAGTACACCGGGGTGCACGACTGTACCGAAGGGCACCTCGACACCTTCGTCAATAGGCTGCGTGCTTAGGATGCCAGTAGCCCTGATTTCGTAGTCGACTTCTCCGGCCTGGTTGAAGATGAAGGCTAGGATATACTCGTAGTTGGCTACGGTAATGATGCTCTGGAGCACCAACTCCCGGTTTCGAGCGACGACTGCGCGGCCGGTGCGGTAGTTAGTGTGCTTGAAACCGATTCCAGCATCTTGCTCGTGGACGCATACGACGTTGGGCATCTCCACAGACCCACCGTGGTTGTCGGCGAGTACGGCAGAGAGATAGTAGATGGAGCCCAGACAGTCGCAGCCCAGCTTGAGGTTGTTCGCCATGATACCAGCACCAACATCGCCCAAGTCGAAGGCGCTCTTCTTATGGTAGGGATGACGAGGGTCGGCGTACGGAATGTTCATGTCTGAAAGGCTCATTCGGTAGAACAAGCTGCGGTTGTCGTAACGGACATCGTACAGTACCATACCTTCACGCTGGTTGAAACCAACGCGGAAGTTCCATTTCTGCCATGAGATGACATTTGATGTGCCTTGCTGTTCGACTTGGAAGCTAGCACCTTCTGGCTGGATAACATTAAGCGGCTTAAGATCGGTCCGCAGTTGTTGGGCCTCGGGTATGTACTCGTTGGGCGGTTGGATCTTGTACTTTTCAACCGGCTTGATGGTGTTGTCTGCACCAGTCGGTAGTATATCAACGCGAATGACCTCCATCTTCTCTGTGCTCACCACTGGCGAGATAGGAAGCGGCATTGCGTAGTGGTTGGAGTCGGCTTCTGATGAGTTCATCGGGTCCCTGAGGTATAGGAAGCATTGCCACAGCCTATCTTCGTCTCCAACGCCGTCGGACCCGTAGATCCATGGGTCGCTGATTACTACTGTACCTTGGGGGAGCTCGAGCTTGGCAATCTCCGCTTGTACTTTCTCATCGGTCAGGACAAGTTTCTCGATAGCGACGATTTCATCGCCATCCGCGTTGGCATGGACAAAGGGCCCTAGAAGGACGTTGCGATCTACGCGGCGTGAGGTCAAGTCCACAACAGCCTCGTGGAATTTGTTCTGCCGACTTATTAGCCGCGAAGCATACTTCCAACATCTTTGCACATACGGTGTTCCGGATGTAGTAATTGACAAAAGCTTTTCTCGCGATTGATGGAAGTGGCTTGCCGCTATGCTCAGCCTCCAGATATTTCAGTGCCTCGACTTTTGGTGGTTCCTGCAGCGTCACGACCTTGAAATGCAGGTCTGTGTGCGCTGGCCATGAAGCTTTGATGATTGCCGCAGCATCTTGGAGTTCTGATGCCGATAGCGGGGAGAATGGATGAGCAGATACCGATTTCTCGCTCCGCGGACTAGGATCAGTGGCGACTTCTGCAGACATTTTCTCGCAACGAACAATTGAGAACACGAAATCGACGAAGAGTTGAAAGATGGACAGTAGAAGAAGTTGACTATGGAAGGATGGCTTATAACGCTCGAACTACCGACGCTGTTGCCCTAACACAACATTCGATGTGATAAGACTGTGGATCTGGCGTATCTTCGTACAGTTTCCGCATGGACTTTCCGTGTCAGTACTAGGCGTATGTCGATGGCGAC